GGAACAAGTATGACCAGATTGTTCATTGGAAATGACTGTCGCACAACATTGGCTGTTGTACTTTGGACTTGGTGTAAGGAAGGAACAGTTCCTGGAACAGGACATCATGCTTTTTAGTGTGGAAGGTCATTAAAGAAGAAGTACATCTTCAACAAGATGGATTGGCACAGTGACAGCAAAAATGTGCTCAAATGTCACAATTGCGAAAATGGCATAAGAGCAGGCAGTGTTACCTTGTACCATGCATACAGTCACTATGAGTAGGAACCAACTGAATGGCACTGAACAACAATAATAATTCATAGTTCATATTAACAGTTCTTGAAGAAAACATTTTCAAGCATTTGAAGGTGAGTGCAATACCTATTATCTATTCACCAACAATAAATCTAGTTAGAAAATATTCAGAAAAATATATTTTTAGCTATCACATTATTTAAATACCAGAATATGTTCAGGTTATACAGAAAAAATAGCATAAATACAAACAAAACAGAAGACTCAACACAGTTTATCTTACTCAGTTTTATAACATAATTAAATAAATACTGGCTTCCACAAATAGTATTCACATATCATACAGGAATAAACTAAGGGACATTTTAATTTACTGGAACTTTAGCATCCATTTTAGTGGTACATTTAGTAATTTTATCAATCAATCAATCAGTTCACCAATCACATTTTCATGTAAGTTTATCATTCCTACATATTTTTATCCCTTAGATATTTAGAATAAGTAAAGTTTTACAGTTAACAAAGTCAAAGAATGAAAATAGAAACAAATTGAAATGCATAAGTACATTTCCTTGCATTAACTGCCCCAAAAGAACGCATTTTAAGGATTTGTGTTAATATTTTCATAGAACTTCTGTTTGAAGTATTTTTTCAAAAGTTGGATTTATGAGAAACAGATTCTTGACTGTTTCTTAAAGATATTTCTGCCCCCCATAGGTGGTATATGTAAGCCATCACATGTAAGCTGTAACAGTTGAATATTATAATGAATAAATTATAATTATTTTACACTTTTGTTGGAGATCAAAGATATGCACTCAATTTTAAGTAGCCTATAGTCTTTTTTTTTTAAAAAAAGATCATTACAAGTACTGTATTACCAGAGACCAGTAAACATTCCTTGTTGTTTTTTGTTGTTCTTAGATGCCATCTAGTCAGTACTGACTCATAGTGATCCTATGCACAGCAAAATGAAACACTGCCCAATCCTAGGCAAACCTCACTATTGTTGCCACACTTGAGTCCATCAATGCTAACACCTGGCCAATCCATCTCATTTGGAGTCTTCCTCTTTTTCTCTGACCCTCCACCCTACCAAACATAATATCCTTCTCCAGTGACCGGTCCCTTCTAACAATATGTCCAAAGTATGAGAGACGAAGTTTGGCCATTCTGACCTCCAAGGAGCACTTTGGCTGTACTTCTTCCAACACGAATCTGTTTGTTCTTTTGGTAGCCCATGGCACTTTCAATATTCTCCTCAAACACCATAACTCAAATGCCTCAATTCTTCTATGTTCTTCCTTATTTACTGTCCAGCTTTCACATGTATATGAGGCTATTGAAATACCATGTCTTGGGTCAGGCACACCTTAGTCCTCAAGCTCTTCAACACTTTAAAAATGTCTTGTGCAACACATTTGCTTAACGCAATATATCATTTGATCTCTTGACTGCTGCTTCCGTGAGTGTTGATAGTTGATTTAAGAAGAGTGAAGTCCTTGACAACTTTAGTCTTTTCTCTGTTGATTGTTCCAGTGGTGAGGATTTTTTTTTTTTTTTCTTGACATTGAGATGTAATCCATACCTAAGGCTGTGCTTTTTGGTCTTCATCAGTAAATGTTGTAAGTCCTCTTCACTTTCAGCAAGCAAAGTTGTATCATCTGCATATCATAAGATGTTAATGAGTCTTCCCCCAAACCTAATGCTATGTTTTTCTTCATATAACCCAACATCTTGGATTATTTGCTTATCATACAGGTTGAATAAGTATGGTAAAAGAATACAACCCTGTCACACACCTTTCTTAAGTTTAAAGAAAGTTGTCTGTTCGAACAACTGCCTCTTGGTCCATGTACAGATTCCTCATGAGCACAATTAAGTGTTCCGGAATACTCACAATATTGTCCATAGCTTGTCATGAACTTTCATTATAACAGTTCATCTAGGATGTTTTTATAATATTTGAGACAGATCTTTACACTTGGTAGAATTATGACAACTGAAGTTGCACTGCAAGATAACTCCTGGGCCACAAAGTCAGTTAATTACAAGGTTGGTAGTTCAAACATGCCAGCCACTCCTCAGAAACCCTTGACAGGTTTGCTGTGACAATTTACAGGAGCTTAACAAGAGAGAGAAGGGGTGGCTCTGGTAGCGTAGTGATTACAAATCGGGCTGCGAACCTCAAGGTTAGCAGTTCAAAACTACCAGCTGCTCCGTGGGAGAAAGATGAGGCTTTTTGCTGCCATAAAGATTTACAGCCTCGGAAACCCTGTTCAGGGTTGCTGTGGGTTGGAACAGACTTGACAACACTTAACAACAACAAGAGAGAAAAGATGTTAACCTCAGTGGAGAAAATTAATGTAGCATACTACAGTATTGAGGATGTCTAAAACACTGAAAACTGAAGAAACTCTTACGTGATTTTCAAGTGCAGATGGCATTGGAACTAGAAGGATATGTGCTAGCAGAGAGAAATATTGTGTAGTTTCAAGGAAAAATAGGGATTTATATATAAAACAACTATAATGAAAGTAAAAAAAAAAAAAAATCAATCCCATTGTCAGTTCCCCACTGTTTAAAAGGTTAAAGAAAGTAAAGGGGATAAAATATTAATTAATATATTAGATATTTAAAAATAGATATTTTGAACAGAACAATCATTTTGTAGTTTCATTGAAAACATAGAAATGGATTACAGACTTTAGATAGCATATAATAGGAACATAGTGCATGCATATGTGGAAGAGAACAGAGAATGAAGACTATAGGTGGTAAATTAACTATTGTTGTTTGTGTCAAGTGCCTTCTCATTTTTTTCCGAATCATAGTGACACCGTATAGGGTTTTTGAGGCTTTAAATCTTCATTGCAGCAGGAAGTCTCGTCTCGTTGTATCTCCCTTAAAGTGGTGGCAGGCTCAAATTGCAGATATTGTGGTTCGCAGTCCAGTGCTTATCAAATGTAATCATCATGCTCCAAATAAACTACAGATATTTATTATTCTGTTTCATGAAGAAAATATGAGTAAAAATGAATAAAAGTTATTTTTAGTTATTAAAATGTTAGTGTAAAAATTTTGGGAGTGTTTGATATATACATTACAAAGTATAGTACATTGAAAAGAGAAGAGGGAAAATCAATATTGTACTTTACTCAGTGGGATAAATGCAGATAATTAATAACTGCCCTCTGTTAGTGTCATATCATAATGTTGTGGGACGTCAAGATCTATGGAGCAGTATAGAAATATAGTTTCAGTGATTTCTGATATTCAACTTAGTACTCAATACTTGGAAGTCAATGGAATTATGCACAGTGTTAGTTCTGGATTGCTGTCATTTAAATTATCTGAAATTCAGTTAATTTTGGTTTAATAATATTTGGAAAAATAGGAATGCAACCAAACAAATGAGTAACCAATTAGCATAATTTTTTTATATTTTTGATGTAAGAAGTAGTAAAAATCAATGGAATCAGGAATTCTTCTGGAAGCAATGTAGGAATGTATCATTTGAGTAGAAAACTCTGCATTTGAATGCTTGCTTTTCTACTTACATTTCTATGGATCAATAATGTCCTTCATCATTTATGATCCAGTCTTCTTATTTTAAATTGTGCATGTATACATATTTTCAGAGTATTTGTGATAATTACAATATGAAATATGAGAATAATGTAAACTAGTTATTGTTATTACTATTGCAAAGTGCCACTGAGTTGGATCACACTCATACTGACCTTGTATCAGTTTTCTGATGATTTGAACTGCAGGCCTTGTGCTTATCTGTAGAGTTCTTGTCCTAAAGCACCACACCAAGATTCCATAAACTAGATAGGATAATCTAAATACGTAAAACTAGGAGTTAATGTAATTCATTTTGTTAATTATAATGCCTAGATATGAAAGAAATAAGAGAAATAACAGTGTTCTAATAAATATTTTTGAAAAATAGAGTGAGATAAGTGTAGGAATGAAATGCAACATAAAAAGGATGCACGCTAATAATTGTTTGGAAAATATATATGCAGACACAAAAAGGTGATAACCAGACAAAGTAATTATCCAAGGTAAATTCTAAATTTAATCAGCACCAAAACTGAATATAAAGGCAAAAATAAGTATTATACTTCTATGTAGATATTAGATTGCATGTAGACTTTTGAGAGGTCTAGAAAAAAGTAACATAAAATCCCTGTTCAAATTCTGATTGGCCATTAACTCATGGTAAGTTTTAGCATTTATACAAATAATTCTCCTTGACCAATATGAATAGAAATGATCTTAGTTAATTCAATGTATATATTGGATACCAGAAACACTTGGTATCCAACATGAACACTGTACAAGTAGTTAGTGATAGAAATTTATGCAAGCAAGGGCATAAGATTATATTATATGTCACTACCTTGAAGATGTAGTCCTTGTGTGGCTCTGCAGGATGAGCACTGTATGATTAACACCAGGTCACACATGGTTCAAACAGCAGTCAGCCCTCAGAAAGCCTATCAGGGTCAATATTACTTGAATCTGATTCTATGACACATAAAAAAATCTTGAAAATAGTTTATACAAATATTCAGGATAAAGGATAAAGCAACTTAATATTACTTCCTAATGATCAATACTAATTAGATGGGACAAATTTGGATAAATGTAAGACCAGAAACATTCTTAAGTTAATTTTTACCCTGATTTTGGTTTCCAATATATTTATGTTATTTGCCTTTGTTTCTTCTGTCCAGATAAAGTTCCTAAAGATGCCCAACTCTACAACAATGACTGAATTTCTTCTTACAAGGTTTTCTGAAGTATGGGAACTTAGAGTCTTACACGCCATGCTGTTTCTACTGACCTACTTGGCAACACTGTTGGGGAACCTTCTAATTGTCACAGTAACCACCCTTGACCAGAGTCTTCACACCCCCATGTATTTCTTCCTTAGGAATCTGTCTTTCCTGGATATGTGCTATATTTCTGTCACTGTACCAAAGGCTTGTGTTATCTTTTTGCTTGACAGCAGGGTAATTTCCATGGTAGGATGTGCAGCTCAGATCTTCTTTGTAATTTTCTGTGCTTTTGTAGAATTTCTTTTACTCACTTTTATGGCCCGTGACCGCTATGTAGCTATTTGCCATCCCCTCCACTATGCTGTGATCATGAACCCTCAAGTCTGTATACAGATGTTTCTGGCCTCCTTATTCAGTGGTATAGTCTACTCAGGATTCCACACAGGCCTCACATTCTCTCTTCCCTTCTGTCAATCCAACATAATCCATCAATTCTTCTGTGACATGCCTTCTATGCTAAAGCTCTCTTGCTCTGATACATTTGTCAATGAGATTGTACTTTTTGTCTCCTCAAGTATGTTTTCAAGTAGCTGTTTTTTATTTATCATCATGTCTTATGTTCACATACTTTCTACTGTACTCAAGTTTCCAATCAGACGAGAACAAAGAAAGGCTTTTTCCACCTGTGTTCCACACCTTCTTGTGGTAACAGTCTTTCTCACCTCAGGTGCTATTGTGTATATGAAACCAACCTCCAACTCACCTACAATTCAGGACATGATCATTTCCATGTTCTACTGTATAGTTCCTCCCTTCCTGAATCCTATTATCTATAGTCTACGGAATAAGCAGATAAAGAAAGCTGTAAGGAGAATAATGAGTAGAATGCTTTATTCAGGAAAATGATAAGATAATTATTTCAAGATATTGTTACACTAATGAAAAATATTTAGAAATATTTCAACGTTAGTTTCCTTGGCAATATTCAAACCTGGGGTCCTAACTTGATTTATCTTTGTTGTTTTTGTTAACTGCTATCAAGTTGGACCTGACTCATAGCCACTCTGCATAAGGTTTCTACGGAGTGGCTGGTGGGTTTTAAGCAACATATTTACAATTCAAACAGATCCTTTAGTCTAGTTCTTACCTTCCACTGCCACACCAGGATTCCTAAATGCCAGTCGCCATATTGTATGTCAGTATAAAATAGTGTATCCATATGTTGTTATATATGTATGCCATCTAAGAGTGCATGTTCCCTGATATTTAAAATGTAAGTACTGAAGATTTATTTTTGTTAAATATTTCTTTAGAATGATATAGAATTATCAATACTCATGCAGGCAGCAGCCAATAATTCAAATGCCACAATGCCTTATGCAATTCTGTTTCACAAGAACTCTTTAATGTATTCAAGAGCAAAGATTTCAGTTTGATTTCTAAGGTGCCCCTGATTCAAACTATGATATTTTCAATAGCCTCATATGTATGGGAGAGTAGAAAATGAATGACAAAAAACATAGATTAATTAATACATTTCAGCTATAGTGTTGAAGAATATTTAGATTATCATTGACTGCCAGAAGAGCAAACAGATCTGTGTTGGAAGAAGTACAGTTGGAATGCTCCTTAGAATCCAGGATGGCAAAACTTCATTTCTCATACTTGGGACATGTTATCAGTTGGGATCAGTCCCCAGTGAAGGACATGTTACTTTCTAAAGTGGAAGGACAACAAAAAAGATGAAGACATTCAACAAGATGGATTGGCACAGTGGCAACAGCAATGCTCTCAAGCATAAAAACAATTGTGAGGATAGTGTAGAACCAGACAGTTTTTTATTCTGTTGTACATATGATTGCTGAGTTGGAACTGACTAGGCAGCACAACAGAGAGTCCAAGAATAGCCAAACCACTAATTAATTTTTTAAAAAATATTTGTGATAAGAGCAATACTCATTCATACATTAAAAATTTCATTAAATTATGCAAAATAACATCTGAAAACTGCTAATAATTGAACCCTAACTTTTTGGCTCTGTAAGATCAGCACTGGACTGTGAACCATGAGGTCAGCATTTCAAAACCACCAGCTGGTTCTTGGAAAACCTATATAGGGTTGCAATGAGTTGGAACCATCACAGGGCACTTAACAGCAACAACTACTTTTTTAATAAACAAAGAAACATATGAAAATGTGGTTGATAAGAGAACAATGATACCTTATGCTAACTTACTGTGGAAAAAACAAACAAAACAAAAGCCTTTGGGGGAAAAAAAAAAAAAAAAAAACTTACAATATGTAAAGCAATTGGTTTGTATTAAAAGTTTAGGGTTAAAATCGTTCTTTGATATTATTTTGTCTTGCGGAGTAGTTTCCAACTTATCAAAGTGGACTAGCCCCATAGGGTTTTCATGGCTGTTATCTTTACGGAGGCTTATTGCTTCATCTTTCTTCTGTGGAAGAGCTTCTAAGAGATTCCAAACAATTAATTATGGTTTGTTGTTGTTGCTGCTGTTGTTGTTAGTTCCATAGAATCTATTCTGGCTCAGTGCCTTGTGTATAACAGAAAGAAACACTGCTTTGTCTGTTGCCATCTCCCAATTGTTATGCTTGAGTACATTCTTGCAGCCACTGTAAAATCCCTCTCATGTAGGAGCTTCCTCTTTTTCACTGCTCCTCTGCTTTACCAAGAATATGTCCTTCTCTAGAGACTCATCCCTCCTGATAACATGTACAAAGTACTTGAAATGAAGTTGCTGCTAAGGTACATTCTGGCTGTTTGTTCTTCTGCAAATCCCTTGTAATGTCATTATTCTTTGCCAACGCCATAAGTCAAATATATCAGTAATATATATTTTAGTAAATATATTAAGCTTGTATTTTTTAA